GCTGAGCTTAAACACCTTTTTTATAGTTCTTGGGGGGCTTTTGTTTCTGCTTTTAGCAAGATCACTTTGTCAGGACCAGGTTAGGGAGCAATTAAATGTGCAGTTATGTTGGCAGATCTAAGGGGGCAGCTGGACCAGAAGCAACACATCTGACCATGCTCTAAACAAACATCTGTCCAAAGTCTTAGTCAAACAGATGTGGAGAAAAAAATGTACCTAATAAGTCTTGAAGTGAAAATATAATTTATGAGAAACTGCATGTATCAAATTTTCTTCTAAGAAATTCAAACAGTAATTTATGAGATTATACATTTCTATAGTCACAAACCATGTATCTAATAGATACTTTAGGAAACCAGCACATACTTCAAATGGTTAAATCCATGCAGGCAAATTTTTTTCTCGTCTGTCAAGACACTCCTAGCTCCACAAGATTGTGAATAACTTGCATCAACTTGAAGCAAGTGTATTCTAATCAGCTTTGCATTTTGTTACTTTTAAAAATCAAGAACCTTTGGTTTCAAATTGCAATTTTATATATGTTATAGAGCAGGTAACTCAGTAACGCTACAAAAGCATTAAGTGTTTCTTGTCCTGTAACCCTGGCTGCTCTTCTCCAAGCCCATTTCTTGTTCTAGCACAAGATTATGCACAGGCACAGCAAGAATTGATGCAGGTTAATGTGATGGGAAGGTGCTGGACCTGCTTCCCAAGCCACTTTACCACAGGGCAACACAAACGTTGATGCTGGCCAAAGAGGGGTGAAGGTAGAGGGAGGAATGAGCAACCAGAAGCATCAGTCAATCAAAGGTACTCCATTTGGGAGCATTGCTGGTCTAAAATGTACATGAAACTGCCTCCTCAATCCAGCTTCTGAAAAAAGATTATTTAAAATCCAGATAATGTACAAAACTGAATACATTGGTCTACAGCAGAAACAGGATTCGTACTCCTTGGATTTAATTATTGCTGATGTGTAGATATCTTAACATACTTACTACCATGAACTAATCAAAAAGCATTTACTCATTCCATTCTCATGTTCAACAATTCAGAGAACACCAACTTCGCCTGATTCAAAAATCAAGCTAAATAATGTATACAGACTGTAATATTCCCTTTAGAAATGGAGAAGGTCATTGCAGACTTGACTGACCAAACTGTCTCAGACATTATATACATATACACTCATACACTGTACGACTGTATTGCAGAGCAGAACACTAAAAACTGGCAATTGAGCATGACCATAAAGAACAAATACTTTCCCAACTAGTTTGAAAACATACCTACCTCAGTTATCCCCCAAACACTTTTTGACTTGATTTATGTTCTGCTGCTTTAAAAGACGAAATGGGTCAATATGAAATAATGCACATACTTGTAAAATAGATATTCATACCCAAAATAAACTTTCTCTTGGGAGAATATTTTTAAAGCAGCATTTAAAGTCTCTTGGCAATGCTTAGCTAGAAAAGTTATTTATTTATTTATTTATTTAGAATAAAAGTTCTCAGAATTTTTTTACTAACATTTAGAATCCCGGGAGAAAACTTAGTAATACAGGTTTCTCCCAAATTAATTTTCATTCCATACAACACGATGTATTTACACATGCAGAGGAATGCATAGTATGAATTAATGCAGAGAAAATTTTATTTAAGAAATGTATGGGCTACTTTACAAGAGATGATATGCACAAGCCATTCAACGTACTGCATGCTGTCGAGTTTAATAAGCCTAAAAACAAAAACATTACCTTGTCTGGTTAGACTTTTCCTCTTGCACCTACATTTTTAACATTTGGCACACAAGTATCAACAATTTATGATTTGTGCTTTCTCAACAGAAAGTTGAAGTATGAAACACTGAATAAATACTGTTTGCCCTCAAGACATGCAATAGTTCTGTTATACAGACTGCAAAATGGAAAATATACTTAGAGGCTGACTATGGTTAGTGACTCCTAATTTTTTCATTAAATGTAAAGACCTCTCTACAATGACACATTTGAAGCTTCATTTTAACTAATAGACTGATGCCACCATTTTAGACCCAACCACAGATTTTTTTAAGGAAGTGGCAAACCATTGCTGCTAGTTGAGAAAATGAAAATTAGTCCCTGGGAGAGGATACAATCAATGGTGTGTTAATCTAACCTTCAGCTGTTAATGATTTGCACTACTATTTCCCCTGATGCTGTGGGTTCTGCTGAAATATTGTTTTAGCAGTTTCTGTCAACTTTCCCTACCTTTTTTCTTCCTGGAAGGGACAGACTGAAGTGAAAATCTTAGCAACAGATTTTTTTCTGTGCTGTTTTCCCCCCTTTTTTTTGTCTGACCCAGTTCTTTCACACCATGGAAGCACAAGACAGAAGCATAAAGTGTTCTGTTTTTTTCAGTTAGAGCCTTTTTAGCTAGTCTGTTATTCACAGCTCCTCTTACTTATAAAAGAGGTGTTACACTAAGCAGTCACCATTAGAATTGCAATATTAACATGAGATTAAATAATTTTAAAAGTGTATTTTGCCTGCTGATTTCACATTCGCCCAAAAAGCCAAAATTGTTACAGGACTCTTCTTTGGAAAGAACTGCTGAGGAAGGTCTGGTATTTCCAGTCATGAGAGCTGTGCAAGCAACCTGGAAGAGACTTCTTGTGCTGGTGTAACAATAAATAGGTGTGCCGATCTTGGAGGTTTGCCTGACCCTGCAAACTTTTGAGTCCTAAAGGATCATTTGGTTCACTCAATTCAAACAATCTTGCAAAAAGAAAACTACATAGCCCGCAAGCCAAATTCTGCAGCAAAGGACTTAGTGCCAAAATAATAAAAGTAGTCAGCACCTTGCAAAGCTGCATTCCACACACACAACACCAGTTTTTTAGCAAGCATTTCTTCCAGGAATGAGTGTATCTCAAACGTTTCAGTATTCTTAAAATAAAGCCAAAAGGACTTGCAAAACCCCTCAAACATATTTTACACGTATCTCAGGCCCTTGTTTAACTTAATCAGTTCTGAATATTTGAGACAAATAAGGGTAAATATTCAGCATGGTAAGCCTGTCAAGTTTAAAGAATTTGGGTTAAGTTGAAGAAGTCACATTTGATCTATTTTAATGTTAGCTTCATGCAGACTGCAATAACCCATTATCATAGTTGTGTGTTGCTGCACACAAATCTGATTTGTTGATAAATATTTAGTTAATTCATAAAAGATATTGAAAAGTTTAATGTTGCTCCTTCAAGGTCATGCTCACAATTCATTAAAAATTATTTGAATATAGGTACACTAGCTGTAAAAATAACTTACAAAAATCTCAAATAACTTAGACATAACATTATTTGAAGACATAACTTTATGGTTGAGTATTTCTCCTATGGAAATCTCATGCCTCTCATTTTCAGATATTTGAAGAGTTTTGGACTGTGAGTTTAGAAGGTTTCAACCTTCAACCTATTCAAGAAGGAATATTTACTGCTGATAATTAACATAATCTATCAGAAATTGTTTTTGTACCTAATGGACCTTGTCAAAGATTGTACTGATTAGAAAGCTTAAAAAAAATCAACCAAATGACAAATTATCAATAGACTACAAAGAAGATGATTTACACATTTCACAAAATGAGTTTAACTAACCAGAAGGGATAATTTGTTGTTGTTGTTGTTGCTATGCTCTTTTAATGTATTTGATCAAGAATCTGGATTGAAAAAAAAAGGTTTTTAGTAAAATTTGCAGTGACATAAACCAGGGACGTCTAGGTAACAAAGACAACTTTTTATGGATTCAGGCTACTTCAGGAGGACCAAATGTACAATCCATGTATTTCTATGTGGCCAAATATAAGAACATATTGCCTATGAATGAGGAATGTAAGCCACAGCATCCAAGAAAGTATTCAGGGATGAAAGACAGCTCAAAGGATCTGGGATATATAAAGGGAGGAACAACAAGTAGAAATAGAGAACAAATGACTTCATTATTTGGCACTGATGTAGTAATTTCTGAAATATGGAGTGCACTTGAGACATCAACACGAAGAAGGCTGAAAAACTGCAGAGGATTCTGAAAAAAAGCTGGGGGAATAACAGAAAGGCTTGCAAATACCACATAGTAAAACAAGCTTTTCTTCCTAAAATGAAGAGATTATATACAATTTGATGGTCACCTGTGAATTCATATATGGGGAATAAAAATGTAACCCCATTTGAAAAGAAAAGATGCAATAAAATCTATAATCTGGAAGCTCATATCATGCAAAGGCATATCTAAAACATGATATTACTTACAAGTAACTAAAACTTCTGGAAAACGCTTAGAGCAATTTATATAAAGAATTTGCTGGATTTTTTCACTGGGATTCATAGTTAATCCAGAGTGGCTATTTCTTTAAAACACAACTCTACTCACCAAACTAATTCAGCTAAATCTTATGGACTTTACATTGGAGAGTGAATTATATGACCATGTTTGCAGCAATTCTCTCAGGAATTAAAATCCACTGAAGTCAAAGGTAAGATTATGACTGCCTTCAAAGCACTTTGGATCACATGCATATTCACAATTCTATTGATCTGGTTATATGCAACCCAGTTTTATTTTTAAAGGCTAACAAAAACAATAGACTTGGTTGGTTTTATTTTGTTATCTTTCCATATTTTAATGAAAAAAACCCAGATTCTAAAATCTAGTCTAACTTAAGATACAGTAAAGTCAGGTGAAGTCCCAGAAACAGCAAAAGGTGACAGCAAGGTCCAATACAGATTAATATAATTGATGATAAATTGGCAATGTGGAGCTGGAGAACACCCTGTAAAAATCATACTTAGCCTTACAGTTTAGAAAGATTTTATACATGTCACTAAAATTTAATTGCATAAAGGTCCAGATGCCTTGTTTAATCATTTTAGATTAGCAATAACAACTTCAATACATAACTATATTTTCTTCCTTCTTAGTGATTAAAACCCAAACAATCTCAAGGCTGCACTCATATACTCACTCTGGTAGTCGGGACAGGATACCCAAGGAAAGAGAACTTATCCCATCATTGATCCGACCTGGCAGCTTACGCTTCTGAATCCAGCTGACAGCAAACTCCAGCCCAATAAAAGTAATGAAGAATGGAATACTCTAACAAAAAAAAACAAAAAAAAAAAAGAAAGTCACAACAAAATAAAATTAGATACACTTTTCCAAACAGTATTTTATGCTGTGAGATGCTTCTCAGATTGGCTGGCACTTTAGTAGCTACTCCTGTAATAAAGTTCCACATGGACCTTAAAAATCAGAGCAACCAAGGCTACTATTTAATCCACAACACCAGCATAAATCTATTGCAGTAACTTCCTCCCACAGTGCATATTCTGCACATAAACTCAAACATTATCAGAATAAAATGTATAAGTCTTTCCAAACTAATATTTCTCATATTTAAGTAAATCAGTCAGAGCACCAATATTTGTGGACTCCTTCAACCACAGAGTAGAACTGAATCTGGTTTGGATTTTGCCGGGGTCGGCTGTTACTTGTCTCTGCCCCAGCATGGGAAAAAGTGGTTCTGGGTAGGCCGCGCTCTCGAAGAAGGAGTCTGGACTCTTGCTTTTAGGTCTTCAGTCGAGTTTATTATTTCTTATCTACAAGTTTTCTGATTTGATTTGTATGAAGTTTTTTGAGTGTTTTCAGCCACTGAACTTGGTATCCAACATTGTTATCTGAAAGATATAGTAAAGTGAGTTTCTTTCTACTTGGCATTTCTATTGCCATGCTTTTCAGTGCAGACAACAACAGCTCTTCTGTATGTGCTTTCATCAGTGAACCAAATGTGCAGCCCTTTCCAGCTTGGGCCATACACCATGTTCCCTTCCCAGACCAAGTGACAATGATACAATGTTCCCCTCTTTCTTTGCAATTATACTGACTGCAAAATAGTTTTCAGCCTTTCTGCAGAAAAGTGTAATGATGAACAAGACTGAAATATTTCTCACTCACAACATTGCTTTAGTCTGGGATTCAATTCTCACTGTCCATCTTCTTCTATCCCAAGAAAAGCTGAAAATGCACAGCAACAGCACCCATTAATGAAAGGTGTAACTCATGAGGACTGTCAGACCTGTTCTCAATTTTTTATCATCTCAGACAACAAGAAAAAGGCTTGAGTAACAGTAAGTCATAGAGAATATTTTTCTTTTTTACTAACACTGGAGTCCTAACAGTCCCTGCACTTCACACGTGGAAGGAATTAGGCAGTGGCAGTGTTTTAGCCATCACCACCAAATCTAGAAGGCCTGTGGCAAGGAAAATGGGAAGGTGTTATAAGATCCCTGTGCAAGCTAATGTTCCTTCACCAGCCTCCCTCGCTCTGATGAAAACTTTTAGGTGACCTTTGAGACATTTAGACAACTGCTTTTTGGTTATATTAAGGCATAAAATTCCCATAATGTTTTGCAGGGCAAGAGAAATGCAAGACCAGTTTTTCCCCTCTCTGGGAGGCACCACACTGCAATACTTGCCCTTTACATTTTCTGCTGCTTCTGCTCCCTTCAAGTGGCCAGCAAACACCTACAGCTTCACTGCCTGGAACCCCCCAAACTGCACTGCTGTAGAAGAGAGGCTGCTCCTGCCCATACAACATTTTAATAGAAGCATATTGTTTCTGCAAATACCATTGCATTTTGGAGGGTGCACATTTTTGTTGCCAAGTGAGATACGATCTGGGAATTCCTACTAGGCTGGGACACTAAAGAGACTAAGATGGATACAGACCAGATTGCTCAGTCCAAGAAGACTTGGATGATTCAAACCATGCAAACAGCAAGAGATTTATAGTGTCTAGAAAATGTGAAAGTTCATAAACTTCAGCAGCACAGGGTTAGGTTACAATAACAGATGAACAGAGATTAATATCAACATGACACTTTTTAATTTAGGTGTCCAGCTTACTCTGTAACAGCATTTTAGACATCTAAAAGCCTGTTTCCACTACGCACCAACTGATGATATAAAAATCTAGAAAGAAAGGGAAGACCTGTAAAGGCCGTAAAGCCTAAACAGCACCCAAGGAAACCAATGTGGCAAATCTTTCAATACTTAGAATAAGTAAGAAATAATATAATAATAAATTATAAAAGAGTAAGGAAATCCTAAAACCTTCCATTTGAAATCAATGAAACATTCTAGGAAAATATAAATAGTCCTTGTTTTGCTTCCTATATCTGCTTCATTTCTAAGTAGATAAGACTTATAATGTACTATTCCTAATTGATATAATCAAATAGCAGATTCCTAACTTAGCAAACAAAGGTTGATGATCAGAGCTGTACACTCCAGCAGAGAAAAGAGATGTTTAATACAAAAAACTACAAAACACTTAATGACAATATTAAGAGGCAGCTCTAGCACAGACTACAAGGAGTGGTATGGAACAGCAGGAGCTGCAGAGCAAATTGAATGGGCTCAGAACAGAGAAACTGAGGTGTTTTATTCATGAAATAAAAACAGTTAATAGGAAATGTACGTCTGTATTCCATGTGATGATTCATTTTACCTAGCAACCTCTGAAACAGTTGAAATACTTGACTTTATATTAATGTACACTGTTACAACTTCTGTCTTATTGACTTCATTAAATATTTTCCTCCCACTGTGAAGCTGTGAAACAGCCAAGCAGTTGGCGCCACTTTTTGACTCACAAATGGGAAGTGTCATAGCAAGGAGGATAAAGAAACATTCAGACATCCTTAACCTCCTGCCCATCAAGGAGATTATAAAAGTAAAGATTTATGGCATACCCCTTACTTGCTAAGAAATTACTACATCTCTCTCACATACCAATATCAAGCTTGGTCCAAAGCAGATCAATGGGATCAACTGCATTTAGGCCAGGATGGATTATTTATGTTACTATGACAGCTATTGTCATGGAGGATGAAAAGGCATTCCCTGACCCAAACTGCCCACAGTGTAAGGATGAGATATAATGCAACAGAAGAAGAATGCAAATAATTCAAGAAAAAAGGAGACAGTAAGAGAGAAAAGTAGTCCCACTAGCCTAACCACTACTTTTTCCTTCTTCCTGGTTTGGTTTTGTTTCTTTTTTTTTGTTTAAGTTAAAAGGACAAGGAAGATATTTAAGGAACCCATTGAGGATGGCTATCCCTACAACTGTTTTCAAGGGTTGTCTCTACAAACAAAATGGCAAAAAGTTAAGAAACAGCCACTGTTGACATCACAATTTAGAGACATATGACAGATCCTTTGGATATCTTCTGGTCCATAAATGTTTTACTCTTTCTCTGTTTCCAGTTTTTTTCCCTTCACCCAAGAGCAGAAATACTCAATGGAAATTTGCATTAGCTTGTGGTTTAGCTGAATAACTGATCCATAACATGAAAGCTTTACTCTGAGTACTGTGTGAGAGGGCTCCATTTTAAGTAACCAACTCTAGAGAATGCAAAGGACCATTTAAAATCAGTTTCCACTTTATACTGTTGCAAAGAATAATATTCTAGGTTGAAATTCAGCATATACTCATAGCTTTACTGCAATTCTTGAAACAGTTTTTGTTTTCTTAAAGTCCCAGATCCTTATAACATAAGAATCCCAACTTTCAAGTAAAACTAAATATGAAAGTTCTGTGCCTCATTATTTAGAAGCAAGCCCTAAAATGTGAACTGAGTTTAAATGTGAACTTATTCTTTAGGCTGTCAAGAGAGTAAATTGAAAAGGAAAATAGTGATTATTAAAGCTTTCATTTTGGAGTTCTCAGCAGAAGGACTGTGTCTTCAGAAGTCTGACTCATGGATGCCTTTACAGAGCACAAGTGATAATTTCAGACTACAGCAAGGTACAAAGTAAATTTATGGTTCATGAAAATTATGTTTGGCAAACAAAAAGAATCAGTCCACCTGCCCGTCTGTGAACCACATTACAACACATCTGTAGATTGTGAGACAATTAAAAAAAACAACAAAAACAAACAAACAAAAACAACCCACCAACCAACAGAGCATGCAGAGCCTAGTTTTACACTCACAGAAAAAAGGATGCTCTTACAATGAATGGGCAAGCGTCAGTACATCCTGTCTTGGAGAAAGAAAATAAGATTCATACCCCTTTTCCCAGAATTCTGGATTTGTTGAAAGGGTGACTTTTCCATGGGCGCTGCTGCAGGACTTTGCTGCTTGTCACTGGTTGCAGCTGATCAGTTTATGTTTTAAACAGGACTTGAGGCCTCTACATACAGCTCTGCCAACATACAGAGCAACAATGCAAGGACCATTGCTTCTGAAAACAGAAGCAATGTACCCAGAGACAGAAAGTACACTGCACAAGTTAAGCTAACTATTCTGTTCTCAGAACCAGAGTTGCTTCACCCTTTGCTGCCGTTTCCTACCCAGATGTAACAGCACAGGTGACTCTAGCTCAAAGGTGCCACTCCTCTGAAGTGCCTGTATTTTGTAAGCCAACCACTCAATTTTGCAGATTGCTAAGCCCATTAATATTTGGGTGAATTTGGAGGTTCTGCCACCTGGGTGATGTCGGAAGGTGGCTATCCCCACAGCTGTAGCCAAGTCATCTAATGTCCTAGAAATACTTTAATCCGTCTGACACCCAAGAAATGACAGATCTGAGATGCAAATTCCACTACAGTGTCTCAGAAAAAAAAAAGAAAAAAAAAAAAAGAAAAAAATCCCACACCATTTAGAGATACTAATGTAATCAGCAATTTGTTTCACACATCCATCAACATTATTGTCTTTTAGAGTGAATTATTTGAGCTGAGGCACTCATTTGTTACCAGCTCTACACTAGAATTTTTTTTGTTCTGTGTTGAATTGAGTTCAGATACCCACTTCTGCGTCTGTACCAATTAAGGAGTTAGCACTCCCAAGACCTCCTTGAAAGGCTCATCAGTTCACTATTAAATCTATTGCTGATGAATCCAATGGATATACTGCTCGTGTAACTGCTCTCTAAACAGTCCAGAATAGCAGCTGGAGAGGGACTAGATAGTTGCCATCTGCCCATAAACAAGGCCAGAAGAGGATGGATGAACTCTGCCTAAGCTCAGGCCAAAGCCAAAGACTTAAGACAGTTATGCTGCTAGAACACTTTTATATGCCCACTGAGACAAGCATCAAAAGATCTGTTCTACTAAAAAATGCACTGTCAAAAGGGAAATCCAGCACAGCTAACCTAAGATAGGAATTTAAGCAAAGTATAATAGTAATGGGAAACATTTTAATGCTGTTTGTTTTTTTGGGTTTTTTTTGTGAGGAATATTTCTTTACAAGCTTATCACAACACTGCTCTACAATAGCAGAAGCCTACAGGTGCTTTCATAATTCAAAGTATTAAGAATCCTTTCACAGACTTACAAACTGCCTAGTAAAAGAAATTCCATGTTTGGCTCATGCCTGACCTGAATATTGCATATGGGAGAAGAAAGCCCAAGGATGTTTAGGTACGCGCAGACAAGAAAGTGAATGATATCCCGTTGGAAATGTGGGAATAGTAAAAGGGACTGAAATACTAGAGAGAGCTGGAAGGAGAGATCAGCTGACTAGGCAAAACCATCGATCTACCTTAATCATGACACTATAGCTGAGTTGCAAAACACCTCTGAGGACAGCAGTCCATTGACCAGACACTGCACACACAGGCTGGGCTTGCAGCAGCTTTCTGCTTACCTTACACAAAAGGGTTTACCTTTAGAGACAACATCCCTCAGTGAGGGACTGCTGCATACTACAATTCCCAGAAAGCTGCTGATGGTGCTGCACTGCTCTGCACAGCCCATGACACCCCCACAGCAGCTGCTGCACAGCAGTCCAAGGTATACCTGGCAGAGGAGCTAGTCAGAACTATCAAAATCCATGTAAAAAGTGCAGCTCTTTACTGGAATTGGGCTGAATTTACTTTGACAAGGGCAAAATAGTGTTTGTGTGCTGTCTCTGTGAACAGCTGACATGGATCTGGGCTCAGAAGGAGCTGACAATCAAGATAAGTGCAATAGGTAGGACAGAAGGGAGCAAAGGTATCTTCTTGGAAGTGAATAAGCCGGCAGGGCGGGACGGGAGGGAAGGATTTGCTGCTGCCTGCTGACAAGGGAGTTCTCACCCACGACCTCTGTACTCTTGCCTTGGATATTTAGGACATAGCACTGTCCCAACACAAATATTTGTTCTAAATTTTCTTAAACAATCTTTATTTTTTATTTTAATTAGAAACCTTTTATTTTTCTGTCTTTGACTGAGCTTGACTTAAGGGCACAGAGAGACCTGACGTTTTGCTTGCTTTAAGAACCATAACAGCCAAACACAGTATCATATTTTCTTGTTTCCTCAGTTCAGTTTGCTGTCCCTGTTCATCTCATCCGTGCTGCTGGACATAATGTTAGCACCAAGCCTCAGATATGTGGGTGCTTCTCTGAAAACTCCCGCTCTTGGTACCAGGAGAAATCATCATTTAAATATGAATGAATATTAAAATGGAGGGTACAGTTACACTGGCAGCTTACAGGCAGAAAGCCCATGAGAGACGGTTTTATCTTCATTTAGGTGCCCTTTCGCGGACATGATTTCAGTGAGGCGCCCGTGGCTTTTCAAAACAGGCGCAGGTGGGCGAAGGGAAGGGCGAGGGATGCAGCCAGGATGAGAAAGGAGGGGACTCTCACCTTCTCTACGTAGTCGGGCACCTCCTCCACCGTGCGGAAGGAGCTCTCTCCGGGCGCCAGCGCGTAGAAGAGGGCGCGGAGCTGCTGGCCCGGCGCGGTGCCCCGCGGGCCGCCCGCCTCAGCGCCCATGGCCAGGCCGCGCTGCGCCCGCTGCGCTCCGCGCCCCG